TGGACTCGGACCGCATCAAGCACAGCATGGAGTACCGGTACCCGCTGACGCCCGTCGACAAGACCGAGGGCCTCGAGATTGAGCCGGCGCTGCGCCCGGATGCGATCCGGCTCGGCGCCATGTTCTCGCCGATTGGCACCAACGGCGACGTCCACAAGACGTGCCTCGCGCTCGCGCAGCTCTGCAAGCGGCACGGCGTCATGTTCCGCTGCAACACGGAGATCGAGGACGTCCTCGTCGTCGACGACCGCGTCGTCGCCGTCCAAGTCCGCAACGGCGACCTCATCGAAGGCGACTCGTTCGTGCTGGCGCTCGGGAACCACACGTCGGCGGTCGCCAAGCTCGCCGGCGTCAAGCTGCCCATGTACCCGATCAAGGGCTACGTGTTGCGCGTGCCGACGACGCCCAGTGCGACGCCGCTGAAGTGCAACGTCTATGCGGGCGGCCAAGCGCTCATCTCGCCAGAGCGCGACGACATGATTCGCATCTCGGGCGGCGCCGACATCACGGGCTTCAACTACAAGAAAGACGCGAAGCGCATTGCGTCCTTGCTCGCGCACGCCAAAAAGTGCTTCCCGGACGGGTACCTCGACGAGGCCAAGATGACGACGCAGGTGTGTCTGCGCCCCGTCAGCGCCGACGAAGTGCCGTTGATCGGCCAGACGCTGGTCGAAAACCTATTTATCAACGCCGGCCATGGCTCGAAAGGCTGGACGCTCGCATTCGGCGCCGGCGCGCTCCTCGCCGACCAGATCAGCGGCCGCGCGCCCGAGATCAACATTGAAAAGTACTCGCCGCTGCGCTTTGGCCTCTTTGCCACGCAGCAAACCCAGCCCTAGTTTTAGATAGACGCACTATGAAAATTTATTCTCTTATTTAGTTGACACACCACATCGTCTTTTTGTCGTAGTAGATTAGTATGCCATCAAACGACCGTCGCCACAACAACAACAACAATCAAGTACAGAGATCTTGAGAGCGTGTCCAGACCCACGTCGTTGGTAACACGACATGTCCACACGCACAAGTGGGACGCCCATCAAGCACGCATATTGCGAACTGGCACTGGCCTCTTCGTGGCGACCACCAATTTCGCCCGACCTCGCACGTAATGCATGTTACGCCGCTCGCTTGAAGTTGCCGTCGGCGACACTTGGAGAGAGTGGACTGCTAAGATAGCTATCGACTCGAGGATTATTACATGGCGGTTGGAAATTTTCCCGCGACCACATAGGAACGCCCGCCCGCACGTGTCTCGGGGCGGGACATGTCAACCTCAAGGAAGAGCGCCGTGTCGGACAACCGAAGCGCGGGTCGGACCTTGTCACGGGTGCATGCGGACCGGTATTTGTAGCATCCCATCAGCGGGTTCTCCTGGCCGTACGTTGCTTCCTCGCATCACTGCATCTTCCTGACGCCTGTACTCTCTTCTGTCGGGCACCCAAGATTTTAGGGAGTGTCGGAGCGTGGGATGGAAGCATGGACGGCGGTCGTACTGCAAGAGTTGGAAGTACCGGTATCACGCGTCGACTGGACCGAAAAGGGCGGCGACGATGCGTACATGTAGTAGTAGCTCTGCTTTGATTCTACCGAGGCTGTCGGACGCGTTGGACACGGCACGTGTCGCGGATACTGCGCGAGGAAATACATATTAGAGCTTAAACTAAGGACGCAATCGTGGCCTAAAAAGAGTGGAAAAGGGGGGAGTGCGGGTCTTCCATCGACCCGATTTGTTGGGCATTGGTGGTGTCTAACTAAAGAGGCCGAAGCGCAGCGGCGAGTACTTTTCAATGTTGATCTCGGGTGTCCGCCCGCTGATTTGGTCGGCGAGGAGCGCGCCGGAGCCGAACGAGAGCGTCCAGCCCTTCGAGCCGTGGCCCGTGTTGACAAAGAGGTTGTCGACCAGCGTCTGGCCAATGAACGGGACGTCGTCGGCGCTCACTGGTCGAAGACACGCGTGCGACTCGAGCTTCGACTCGTCGAAGTACGTCTCGGGGAAGAGGCGCTTGGCCTGCTTCAAGAGCCACTTGACCCGCTTCGGATCGCTCTTGTAGTTGAAACCGGCAAAGTCCGCGCCGCCCGATATCCGCAGCGAGCCGTCGGCCATGGGCGACACGAGTGCGTTCCCACCTGCGTACACATTGCACGTGAGCGGCGGGAACGCTTCGTTGCGCGGGACACTGAGCACATAACCCTACCCCGCGACGCCATCAGGTCGACCGACGAGATACTACGAACTACCTTGACGGGGTACATGGGCAGCTTGACGCCGGCGAGCTTGGCGACCGCCGGCGTGTGGTTCCCGAGTGCCAGCACGAACGAGTCGCCTTCAATGAGGTCGCCGTCGTGGGCTTGAACAGCGACCACGCGGTTGTCGACGATGAGAATGTCGGTGATGTCCGTGTTGAAGCGAAACATGACGCCGTGCTGCCGGCAGAGCTGCCACATGGCTAGACACGTCTTGTGCACGTCGCCTACACGATCGCAATTGAGTCGAAAGGACGGGCAACGGACGCACCGTTGGTGCCCGTGGCCGAGTAGATGGCGCCGGGCGCAAGCACGGAGGCGGCAAGCGCTGGCTCGACGCTGGCCGCGTCCTTTGCGTCGAGCGGCTGCAGCGGGAGGCGGTACTCCATGCAGTGGTAAATGCGATCCGAGTGCATCACCTCGTCGCGCTCGGCGGTCGACTCGAAGACTTCGAGCGTGCCTTCGGCGGTCTGTTCCATGGCTTCTTCGATCTCGGGGT